TTAGAAACTAGCCTTTAGAGATTCTATCTTACATGCACAAAGGTCCTGCTTTTGCTTAGTTAAGTAGAACAATCCCAAATAGCTTTCAGGAAGGTTGTGTCTGGTACTGAGCTCTAGTGATGTGCCAAGCACTCCACAGGTGTTCATATCAATAATGACACAAACAGCAAATCTTCTAGTTTTCCTAGATTCCTCTTTCTCTCCCATCTCACTCCCACAGCTGACCCAGCAGTTGCTGGCTTTCACTCCTAAACATAACTTGAATCCATTGATTTATCTCTATTTCTTTTTTTAATTAATTAACTTATTGATTTTTACAGGGAGAGGAAGTGAGAGGGAGAGGGAGAAAGGGAGAAAGAGAAACACACATTGATTGGTTGTTCCACTTATTTATGAATTCAGTGGTTGATCCTTGTACGTTCCCTGACTGGGGATTGAACCCACAACCTTGATGTATTAGAACGCTTATCTAACCAATTGAGCTACCCAGCCAGGGCTCTTTATCTTCATTTCTACTATCTTGTGCTTGCCAACTTATTTCACCTCTCTGTGACTCAGTTTCCTTATCTGTAAAATGGATGGTTTCATCCACTTCTTAGATTGTCATATATGGGCTCATATATGTACTTAGAACAGACACTATCTAAGGGTTGATTGCTATTTTTAATGTTATAATCACTGTTTTATTATTGTTGCAGTGGTTTCCTAGGCTGTCTTCCTCTTCTCCCATTTCCCCACTGAATTTATTATTTATACGGAACCCAGAGTGATTGTTATAAACTAAATGTCAGCACACATCACTGCCTAGCTTGTCATTCTCCATGGCTTCCCAATGCATTTAGAGAGAAATCAGTATTCATTCCAGGCTCACAAGGGTTGCCCACATCATCCCCCAGTGCTGTGTTTAACTACATTCTCTCCTTTCTGGCTCTGTAGACATGGTGCGGGGAGGAGTTCTTCCTTGAGGGTCTGCACCAGTGGTGCCCTCTCCTGGAATATGCTTCTAGACCTTCCATGACTGGGGCCCCTGAATTAGGGTCTCAACCCTAATGTCACCACCTCTGAGAGGCCTTCCTTGACCATTCTACACTTCCTTTACTTTGCTCTCAATCCCCAGTTACTACCTTAATACCTAAAAAAAATTTTCTTTACAGCACTTAACTACTAGTCAAATAAGGAGAACAAATGCGTTTTGTTGGGCCACAATGTCGTCATTCTGCTAGCATCACTATTCTGCTTGGATGCCTCAGGTAAGGCAGCTGTCCTCCTCCACAGCCTCTGCTCTTTTGCTCTCACACAGGACCTACTAGACCATCACAGGAGCCGCAGCCCCAGGCACGTTTGTGTCTCCCACTCAGCATGGGCTAGACACACCAAAACACAAATACTAGTACAAACGCTCATTCCAAAGTATTGGCTTGAGAGACGTCATCCAGGAGATTCATAATAGGCTTATAGTATTTTTTAAAGCCTGCCGTCAAAACAAAAACACAAAATTAAAACGTTGAGGAGAGAAAATGGTGGATCCCTGAGATCCACCCACAGCCCCGCATCTGAGAAACACTGTCCTGTGTGAATCTTTTCTGCTCAGGAAATAAACAGCCTCTCCCTTCCTTAGTGTCTAGCTGAGATTCCCTGAGTCAGGACTGTCTTCTGACTTCCTACTGGGAGAAAAGCTGTATTTAAAACGAATGAATGAAATACTAGCCAGCTCTGCTAAGTACTGACAGAAATCCTGCTGACTGCTGCCCTGGGACTCCCCTGCTTTGCTCACATTAATAGGGGCTGCTGTCCTAGAGGGTGCCAGCCAGCTTGGTTCCCATGAAAAAGTGATGGCAAAGAATAATCTCCAAAAAGTCATTTCACTGTTGTGAGCTAATGAGATATTAATATTCCAGAGGCAACCAGAGATGGAGAAGGGTGGAACAAACAGACTCATCAAGCATCTTCTCTATTCGCGGTGCTTTAGACATTTTATCTCATCTAGTCTTCATGGCCATCAGTGAAGTAAGTATTATTGTGTCCACTTTACAGATGTGTGTGTTAAAGCTCTGAGCTGGTAAGTGACTTGTCTCAGGTACAGGGGAGGAGTTTGAATCTATGCTACTCTGACTCCAGACCTGTATTTTTCCATTACGCTATGCGACTTCTCATATTTGATAATATGAAGAAGCTCAGAAATGAAAATGTTTACTGTGAATGCACTGAGTTCCTAACAAGATGATTTATATATATATGTGTGTGTGTGTGTGTGTGTGTGTGTGTGTGTGTGTACATATATATAGTCTATTAAAATACAGCTAAAACACAAAGACACCTGTTTTGTGAATAATGGTTGAAAAAAAATTGAGTTTTAATTCAAAGAAAAATGTAGTCCTTAGACGTTTTAAGAACTGTTATGTAAAGACAGTGTCCACTGTACCAATGAGTAGATCTTGGCCAAGTGGATTTGAGTCTGGGGTAGGAAGGTTATCTTTTTTACCCCCCTCCCAGTTCAACTTGAAGGACTTTTGAGTAAACAAAAGTGCATGGGTGGAGTCCCTCTGGATGGCCTGCAGGGACTGGGAAACCCGCAGTCCAATGCTGCCTGCAGCTCCTACCTGCTGCTCCTGCTCATCCCGGCCCCACTGCGCCTGCTGCAAGTTCGTACCCAATCAGTTGAGATAGGGAGAGGCTCGCGAACCCTCCCAAGGGGAGTGGCCTGTGGGATGGGGCTGAAACCAGCTCTCTGACATCCCCCGAGGGGTCCCAGATTCTGAGAGGGCACAGGCCAGGCTGAGGGACCCCATTGGTGCATGATTGGCCAGGGAGGGACCGTGGGAGGGCTCCAGGGTGTGTCTGGCCATCTCGCTCAGTCCCTATCAGCTGGATACCAGCAGCAAACTAACCTACTGGTCAGAGAATCCGTCCTCTGGTGGTCAGTGCACGTCATAGCAAGCTGTTGAGCAGCCTTAGCATATCATTAACATATTACACTTTGGTTGTTCTGCTGTTAGGTCTATTTGCATATTACCCTTTTATTATATAGGATGGCTCATATAATAATTGAGATGCAATGAATCTCATTTCGGATGAGGGTAGGTTCAGTTCTAAAGTCAATATGAAAGAACACCACACATTGCCCTTGTAAATCCCTTACGAAGAAGGTGTCACAGACTACGTTTCCCAGTACTTGCCCATCACAGCCAGTTTGTGCCCAGGGTTGAAATGGATTGCTGATTCTTTGATGAAAGTGTGAGAGAAGAAGTCAGCTTAGTTTAGAGCCTAGCTGCAGGAAAAATGTGTATCTAGCTATACATTATGATCATGGCACACTCAATCACACTGAGATGCACCCTGTATGTGAGGCACGAGGGAACCGAGACTGACTCAGGGTACATCAGAATGCCATTGTCTCCTCATAATGTCATACCAGGGCTAATGCTCATCCAGTAACTAATGCAAACTATTTCCTGAGATGTCTAAATTGTTTCCCCTCATTCAAATAAATGTACATGGAATGCAGGTTCACCAACCTACCTTGTGCCATCATTCAACTCTAACCACTAAACTAGGAGTTCCCCCTTGTTGAATACGACTGTCTGTTCCTTGGTGTACTCACTCCTCTAAGATTTGGTTCCTGTCTACCTTCACCATCCCATTTCTTTCCATTCCTTATTACACTTTCTATACTCTAACTCCACTTAACTACTTCTAATTTCCAAAATAATGTTACTTCATACCTCCTACCTCTGCCTATAGTGCCCCTTCCCATGTTATCCAGTGAATGTTGCCCCTCAGCATTCATTTCAAATACTTCCCTTCTGTGCTAGTTTGATTGGACTGACACTACTATTCCTCACGCCTCCCTGGGACCCTGCACTTCAGTGCCTCCCACTGTGATGCTGGGCTTAGTCCTGTCACTTGCTTTGACCAATAGGAGGTTAGCAAATGTGATACTGCAGAGGCATGGAAAGTGTTTGTGCTATTGGCTTTGTCTGCTGCCACTGCTGGGACAGCATTCCCCAGTTAGCTCGCCGGAGGATGTGATGAGGGTGCTAAGTCGAGTTGCACCAAGGTCATCCCCGCCAAGGTCATCCTAGATCAGCCAGATGCAAGCTGAACCCCAGACATAGGAGAAACCCAGTCAACTTGCACCTAGTATATAAGTTCTGGAGATCTAATGCACAACATAGTCATTAGAGTAAAAAAATACTTATTAGAAACTTCAACGTTGCTAAGAGACTAGATCTTAACTGTTTTCAACACACACAAAAAGAAATAATTATATGAGGTGATAAAGATGTTAGCTAACCTGCTGTAGTGGTTATATTATGATGCATAAATGTATTAATCCAAAAGGCTGTGTACCTCAAACTGAGACGTTATACATCAATTATATCACAATAAAAAAGTTTGTGCACACCTGAGTTAGAATCACAGCTCAGCAAGTGGCAAACTTTCTGAGCCCAAGTGTTTTTAGCTATAAAATGAAGACAGAGGCAGCAACTTTGATGCCTTCTTGAGAAGATGAAATGAGAAAATCTGTATTAAGTAGCCAGGTCAATGCATTAAAAGGGCTCAACAGTATTTTGTTGAGTGAATTAATGACCTAATACTTCCATGGGAAAATTCTTAGAATGAATGCAGCAAAAATAGAAGGTCTTTGTCCCATTACCAGTTCCGAACATCCTGCCAGCTGCCCTCGACTTTTTGTAGCCTCTAATTCAATTTATTACTATGGAAGCTGATGTTTCAATTTACTGAACCCAACTGTACAATAAATAAAAGTACCTCAGAGGACCATCTTTGCAACTTAATGTCAGCATGGTTGTTAAATGTGGTTTATTTAATCTCTCATCTAAAACAAGAGCTGCAGTTTGTTGCTTCTACATCTGCTCTTCCCGCAACCCTTTGGAGAAATACCGATGCCTGGCCTGTACTTACTGCCTGCTTGTGGGCAGGCTCAGTGGCCTCATTGGCAGGCTACACTCCTGCACAATTAAGAAACAGGTACTTACCTCTCTGGAGGCAGGTAGCCTTCCTTCACAGCTGCTGCAAGAGCAAAAGGGAGAGTGAAAAAGAGATGGTAGCGGCAGCCTGATTAAAGCAAATTGTGTTTGTGCAATGACCTGACTCCAGAGACACAATGTGGTTGGCAACTCACCTGTGCCCCAAGCCTCCCCTTCCCTGGCATCCAGATGATCACTGCCTACATCGCAGCCCTCGCCCACACTTTATGGTGCTTAATCATGAGTACACTCTCCTGTATTAGACTTTGACCTCCTTGAGTACCAGGATGTCTGTTGGGTTTCTCTCTTAATCTCATGCCTGTCACAGGGCCTGGCAAAGAGAATGCATGCTTGAAATAATGATAACATTGCACTTATGGAGCTCTTACTGGTGTGACAATAACTACGAAGTCTTTCCATGCCTCATCTCATTCATTTATCCTCACAATAATCTATATGGTGAGTGTTATTGTCATCTCCAGGTACAGGCAAGGACAATGAGGCTCATGGAGTAACATGCCCAAACTTAAACAGCTAGAGTGTGTGTGTGTGTGTGTGTGTGTGTATGGGGGGGCACTACAATTTACAAAGCCCATTTTATTATAAAAGACTTACTTTGTTTTATGTCCTCTCACAACCTTCTTCCATTTTAGAGAGATGGTTTGAGCCCTAAATTATTTAATGTTTATAGACTTCCCTGATATGGAGGTGGCTGTATTCTTAACGTATAATGCTAAGAGCCCTGTTTCTCTATATAGAATTTTCTTTTAGGATGAGACCTAAGATGACTTATAGTAGTGGTTCTCCAAGCGTGGTCCCTGGAGCAGCAGCATGAGCAGCCCCAGAGAACTTGTTAAAAAGGTAAATCCTCAGGCCTCCAACCCAAACTAACTGAGTCAGAAACTCTGGGATGGGGCCCAGTAGTGTGTTTTAACAGGTCACCTAGGTGATTTGGATGCACACAAAAATTTGGGAACCACTGAGTTCAAGAAATTTAACCATGAAGTTGCCCAGAGCAGTCAAATGAACAACCAATGAGCTAGAAGTAGCTCGTTTAGTGCCCCGTCTGCTGGCACTCATGGTCACAGTAAAACATGTTAGCCCAGTCCTCCCTACCCTTCCCGTTTCATTAGAGCAGACAGAACAAAGGTGTTTAAAATGTCAATAGGGAGAGTCTGGAGTGGGGGTGTAGAAGAGCAAGGGCACCTTTATGTGTCAGAGTTAGACACCTAACAGCACAGAGAAATGGCTTCCAAGGTGCCTCAGTCCTGGAAGGGACCAGTGGGGGCAGGTGGGAGCCCTTCAGTGAATTACTGCAGGCAGATTGCAGAGGCCTGAGGGACCTCCCTCATGACCGCAGGTCAAGTTCACACTGACTGCCTCCCTTTCGCTGCCTCCCCCTCGTCTACTGCACAGGCTGTGTTGACAACACAGACTTTGTGGGAAACACAGAGGCGCTCTGCCTCCCTGCCTTTCTCCTTTTCATTTTCTTCCTCTTGGACGGATTCCCAGTGATCAAATGCAAGGCTCTCAGGGGAAGCGGGCTGGCTCAGGAGCGATAAGGGGCCAATTCCCGAAGGTTTGTCATTTCACGGGCAAGCTGCCATGGCCTCTACGTGAGAGTGAGCAGTGATGGATGTCCAGCCCTGGAGAAGCAGTTCAGCATTGTC